TGCTCGCTGCGTACAAAATGAATAGTCACAAATGCTGATAGAAAGGAAGGTTGCCTTGAATCAGAATAACTACCGTCTGGGGAGATGGTGGACTCAGCAACCCCCAAAACCACCTCTGAAGATTCTGCATGGCAGTGAAAGCTTTTAAAGGGAAACCAGGAAGTAATCTAGTGAATCATTGAGATACGGGGTCAGAGTCATGGCCATTCCCCACAGTGCGCAGGCTCATTGACTTTGCATGATCTTTCTTTAGATACTGCCTTGTTCACACAGTTTATTTGTGAGACTTCTGAAGGGGAAGCTAGGGAAGTGATCTGGTCATCTGTTAATTACTTATTCATTTCTGCTTCTTTGATTTAGGGAAAGAACCAACAAGTTGCAAACTATTGTGTGACGTAAAGATTGGAAAGGTGAGCTAGGGCCGAAGATGAGTAGAGCATGGGGCTGCCTGGTTTAAGGTTAGTGAAGAGACAAAAGAGGGGCCTTCTACAAGCTGCTGCATCTCCAAATGCAGGAAAAGTTTTAAAGCTCTTCTCTCCATAAACCCGCCCACTGGAGTTTTTCCTCATGAAACTTCTGAACACAGGGGCTAAAGCCAGCTGTGTGTTTTTTCGCAGTTCTGCCTTGGATGGGCTAAGCTTGACCTGGCCTGTCTATCCCAGCAATTTCTCTTAACCTGTAGCATTGTTAGACTCATATTTCACAGTGACCAGCTATTTTTTTGCCAAAATGTGCCCCTGTATATAAGCAAATAAATTAATTTTTGACCTTTTAACTCTCAAACTTTAGCTACTATTTGTCTTAAGGAGAAAATACCAAAATACTCCATCTGCTAAGGATGTAGGCCTTTGTCTTCTTTCTCTCAGCCACTTGACAGAATAATTTGGGGACATTTAAGGAAAATTTCAGTTAATGCTAGAAGAATGTCTCTGAACTACCTTTGTCTGTATAATTAAAACATTATGCTATTAGGACTAGTTTAAATTTCTTAATGAGTCTAATCTCCACTACTATGTCCAGTATATATAATTTAAGGAGAACAGTTGTTCAGACATAGTTTTGATGTAGTTATGAGCCAGACTGACATAACCAATGCCAAAACATCATTTTTTATTTTTCAGGCTGATCTTTTAAACTTCTGGAACCATATTAATATTCATTTGGAAATTAGATTTTCCAAGCATTCATGAGTAGGATTATTTGAATTCTGGGATTGGGGTTATTTTATTTTATTTTTTCTGAAGAGTGACCCTGGTTTTTTCAGGCAGTGAATCTTGCTGAACTGAAGCTCCAGTTTCTTTCTTTCTTTGGCAGTGGGCTGTTGCTTGTACTGTTTGTGCTCAGTTATTTTGGAGTCTAGCTGCTACTATTTACTGGGGCTCCCCTGGGTGTGCATAGTATAATGGTTAACAAGAATTGGCAGATTGCATAAACAGATTTTGTGGCTACTTTTCTCATCCAGGATTTAGCTCGTCTAATTTTTTGTCGGCTTGTGAGCCCCAAACTGTGTCCTTTGATACCTCAGGTATCAAATAAGACAGAACCTTAATCCCAGGAATGCAAGGATTCTTTAATATCTACAAGTTAATCAATGTAATACACCACAGTAACATTGAAAGATAAAAACCATATAATTATCTCAATAGATGCAGAAAAAGCCTTTGAGAAAATTCAACATCCATTTATGATAAAGACTCTCCAGAAAGCAGGAATAGAAGGAACATACCTCAACATAATAAAAGCTATATA